AGTGGTGGGCCCGTGAAAAAGAAGGCCCACCTGCCAAATGGATGGACGCAGCGGCCGTAACAATGGACGCAGCGGCCGTAACGATGGACGCAGCAGCCATAACGATGGACGCAGCGTAAGGACAATGGTGAGGACAGCGCAGGGCCAGGTGATGGTCCCTTCTGTTGTACGCAGGGTTGCTGGGAGTTGGAACTGACACGCCAGAGCACCTACCACCACCAGGGTTGGTGGGCAAAGTGGTACTTCAACTATAGTGATCAAGGAAGGTAATGAATTGACCTCCTAACAAAGCCCTGAAGGAAGAGAGGATGGACATCCGTGGGGCAAAGCCTTCCAGGATGAAGAAAAAGGGAAATGCAAAGACCCTGAGGCAAGAGCCACAGGGAAGCCAAGCCTGTGTGGCGAGTGGCTAGTGAGAATTGAGGAGACTAGTAGGAGTGTTGTAGCCTACTGTCCGTTCCCAGAAAGAAAACAACCCCGACCGCCGACAAGTTCAAAAAACCAAAGTTTTATTACCTGCGCATGGACCGTCAGCCCTCTTTGAGAGGAGATTGAGCGGTGGCCTGTCTAATTTTCCAAAGGTTTTTATACTTTTGCAATGTGCAGGTGTGCAAGCAAGCAGAGTACAGAAGCAGCATATTGCGGTTAGCCATTCTTAGTGAAACAATCATTGCTCTTAGTTCTTCCAAGCCTTCTGAACATACATTTCCTTTGGTACAGTCCGGTGCGCTTGTCAGCACAGCCTGCCTCCCTAATACCAGCTAGTTTATTTATAGTTTATAGCTAGTTCATTTATAGTTCATAATGGTGTCTGTCAGCTCAAAGTGGCTTCACTCTTGTCAAGGCTTTTTAAGCTTTTCCTAGAGCTACTACAGGAGAAGGTCAGGGAATCTAAGGACCGCTAGGCCATCATAAGTATACAGTACATAGGTTTTTATTCTGATTGAATAAAAAGCCATTGAGAACTTTTAGCAGAGAAGCAACATGAGCTGATATTTTCAAAAGATACCTCTCTCTGTCTGCTGTATTGTTAATAAGATAAGAGTGAAGTTAAGGGCAGAAACAGAGAAGCTAGTCTGGAGGTCATCTCAGTAATAATAATGAGAAATTACAGTGGCTGAGAATAGGGAAATGTCCAGGGAGGTCTTAAACCAGTGGTTCTCAACCTTCATAATGCTGTGACCCTTTCATACAGTTCCTCATGTTGTGGTGATCCCCCCAACCATAAAATTATTTTCGTTGCTACTTCATAACTATAATTTTGCTAATGTTGTGAATTGGGCGACCCTGTGAATGGGTTATTCACCCCCAAAGGGGTCGCGACCCACAGGTTGAGAACCGCTGTCTTAACCAGTGATTAGATAGCTGATGCATTTTGAAGGTAGAGCTGACAGGATTTGCCAGTAGGTTAATTGTGGTTTACTTGACCCAATTGACTTGGAGGATGGAATAACCAATTATTGAAATGGGAAAGCAGCTATTTGGGGAGGGAAACTGAGAATGCTGATTTTTGACATTATTATTTGTGATACCTTATTAGACATTCAAGTAAACATATTGAGTGGGAAAATGGATATCCAACTTGGAGTTTAGGGGAGAGGTCCAAGGTGAAGATATAAATTTGAGATTTTTTAGAGGACAGATGTATTTTAAACTCTGAAGGAGATCATCAAAGTTTTAAATGGAGAGAGAAGAGGGGTGTCTCAAGTCTAACCTGTGTTGCACTCCAACATTTAAAAGAAAGTAATAAAACCAGGAAGAACATGGTATGTTGAAAACCAGTTTCACAAGGAGAAACGAATTCTTTCAAGTTCTACAAATACATCAATTATGATGAGAATCCATCATTTGAAAAACTATCATTTTGCAACGAAGACAACACTGACCTTTACAAGAATCGTTCTGATGGAAAGATGGGAGTGGAAAGCTTGTCTATAGTGAATACAAGAAACAAATAGAGACATTAGCAGCTAAGTGTATAGTTACTTTTTTCCCCAGTGAAAATATGCATAACGAAATAATATGCCATCTCAATAATTCTACATGTACAATTCAGTGACATATAATCTTTATTTTATACTAAAAGACCATTTTATGGGGGGCTTCTACAGCTCTTATAATAGTCCATACATAAATTATATTGTGGGAAACAGATTTCTCCCAAGTTGTCTCCCCCAAATATATACCAAACCTAGCATGGCAAATGACTACACTTGGAGGTCAGTGAAAAGTAGGTCAGAGGTTATTCTCCCTAAGGGTTATCAGACATCTAGAGCAATCAGACTGTATAGTCTGTCCCACCCTAAGTAGGGCCTACTCCCTTCTGATAAGGATAGTAGTACTGTAGATTGTTTCCCTGTAGGAAAATCCAGGGAGGTCAAGCCCACTCAAGGATGACCCAGGTTAGGCTGCCATGAGTCTAGGGTCCTCCTTTCTTGTCACCTGTGTGCCCCTAATCCCTCCTCTTCCTATTGTGTGCATACCCCTAGATCGTCCCCCTCTCATTACTGTATTAACTATAGTGCAACCCCTTCCTGTGACGTATGTCTTTACCTGTAATTAGGGGGCTTGCACGGCCCCCAAAGATATATAAGCCTTGGTTAGCAATAAAGAGGCACTCTCTCCTGTTCTCGCTCCTGCCCAGTACCACCAAGAGGAGCTGAGGTGAGCATGCTACTATGAAATGTGTCTGACTTCTTTTCTTAACTCTCTCTCCTATCTCTCTCATTCTCTATGACTTTATTATAATCTTTATATATCTCAACTGTACAATTGCGCCTACTGAACCTGTGCTTAGTTGTGGGGGGCTGGCTTCCCCCACCTTTCATCGAGCAGACATCTATGATTGTTTGATTAGTGTATCGTAAAGCAGGGAAATGAGGGCTATAGCTGGTGAAGGATATGGGAGCAGGAGGGGGATTTTTTTTGCTTTTTTGTTTTATGGGAGACATTCCAGCGTGTTTGTGTGTTAATGGGATTGATCCAGTAGAGAGGGAAAACTTACTGATGCAGAAGAAAGAGGAGTTTGGGAACAGCAGAGCCTTGGAGTCCTGGCAGCAATGACTTCACTTTGAACTCTTTTGGTCAGGAAAATTGAAGAGGCAATAATTGTGACTGCTGCTGCTTTGGCCTCTGCAGAATTAGGTTTCAAGTTCTTAATGGCAGCCTCAGGCCTTCTTTAAGCCAACGCACCTCAGCATGGGTCTTGTGCAGAACTTTCTTTTAAACATCCAGTAATCTTAGTTGGACCCTGAGTTCTAAAGGCCCAGAGGGGAGGGAAAGGAGAGATTTAGCTCATCTGTCTTTAGTCTTCCTTTTCCACTGTGAACATTTTGACCCTTTTGCCAATGTGCTTATATCTGATACATGATATTAAGCATACGTTTTACCAAAGTATATGTTACACCTAGTTCACACTGAAAACCCTGGTACATGGCCAAGACCTAAAGCTGCTAAAACCCTCTTCTGTTTAACCCCACAGTAGCATTACTAGGACAGAGGAGACAATGAAGAAGTTAAACTGTTTATACTTCTACTAGTTACAGAAAAATTTGAATTTCATATTCATTTATTAAGACCTCCATATCTACTTTTGAGGCTTAAATCTTAAGAGGACACATCATGGCAGGTGAATAAAAACTAGTATAGAAAATAATTCTATACTAGTTACTAAGAGAAAGACTTCCATGGCAATGAAGTCTGACCAGGTGCCCATGAGTCATATTCGTTGAACATGGTTGAGGTAGTTTATTGTGCCCACCTGGCCGATAAACACATGTGGGGTTAATTGAAGGCTGGAGGGATAAATGGCTCCGTGAGCCTCGCCTTTCTAATTCTCAGGTCTCTTGCTTTGTGATGGTCGGACCAGGGTGCAGCTGCCTTAGCCAGTTCCCTGCTTCAGCTGGCAAGGCTCACTTGCTGCAAGACATCCCCAAGGAGAAGCCACATGGATCTACCCCGATGCAGCCCTGGGTGCTGGAGCACCCATGCGGAGACCCCTGCCAGCGCTGAGATGTTTACACATTCACTGACTCGGCTTTCCTCCTGCAGTCGGCATCACTGTGTGTGTTTTGTGTGATGGAGGAGGATTTTGTGGATTGGTGTTGGACATATGGGTTAATGTTGGACTTGTGGGCTTGGGCAGCACTGGGTTGGGATGTTTTCTTGATGCACACTTAACCTTTATATAAAACTCTTTTTTTTTCTTTATATAAAATTCTTATACATATGAGTTTCTGTGGATTTGTTTCTCTAAAGTACCCAGACCAACACAATGGTAAACACAAGGCATCCCAAGACAGGGAATAATGAAAGATCAGTTGGAAATTGCTCGAGAACATTGTCTGCTCCCTTGGTTTTTCCTGGAAGTGTGTGTGGCCAGCATAGTCTATCGTTAGAGAAATTATAAAAGGCTTAGATGGTCACCAGCTTTGCTTTACGCTATGCGTCCAAAGGGGCTTCTAAATAATTTTTACTTATTCTACAGTCTCACTGGAATTCATCTAATAAAACAGCTCTGTGTGTTCATACCTTTCAGAATGAATCATCTTCCTTCCCTTTAGTGAGAGAAGGACTCTGTTTACTGTTATTGGCAGGATTTCCACAAATGTTCTCTTAAGTCTTCCCAGTGCTTCACTTGGGATGAACCTTGAGGGGGCCTGATGTTCCTGAAAGAGTTCCCCTATTCACGGTGACTTATGTTAAAAGACAGTGAGTTCTGATTCTTCTTTTGGAGCATGGCAGGCATCCTTTTTCCATGGAATTGTTCTCATTATCGAAGTCTGACATGGCAGGCAATAGGCTTTGAAAGAATACCTTGCTAAGACCTGGGGAAAGGTAAAGGTTTGTTCTTGCTTGTTGAGCATAATCCTCTTGACTTGACAGTGAAATAAAGAGTAATATTACCTGAACATTGAAGTGAAATATGGAACATTCTTTGATCTCCTTGAAATTCAAAATTTATCCCAACTAGCCTAAACTTTTATTTTTATATTTCACAGTATCCAGACATCAGTCAAGAATCTGATTCTCCATTTGTTTTCATCTGCACAAATCCCCAGGAAATGATTGTGAAGTTTCCTATTAAAGGAAATCCGAAAATTTGTAAGTCATAATCTGTGATGGTCTAATTTTATTTCTTTTTGGTCCTGCATCTCACTGGTGTAACTTAAAAATTCCCCCTCCCTTACTTTCTTCTTTCATGTTGACAAATTAATACAGTTTTATTTATTAATAGCTGTAATGTTAACGACAGTGTAACCTTTTCCAGGTATATTTTGATCTACAACTACTGGCCTGAGTGTGAATCACTCTAATCTTCCCTTTAGGACACGTCCCCCGACCCCCACCCCCGTACCTTCAACATGCCATTTGGCAGCCAAAAGAGTATGCTTTGCCCCACTGTACTGTTCATTAAAGGAAGCAGTAAACCCATGCTAGAGGCAATCTGGCCAACCTGCTCATTGTTCCAAACTCCAATCCAAATTACAGTTAACCCTCGAAGACTCCTTCATTTACTTTCTTGGAGGCACTGCTGTCCTTGATTAGTGTTTCTCAAGCTAAGATCTGGAAGTGTAGGGCTGCTGATCACAAGGTCGGCATTTTGAAAGCCTCAGCCGTTCTACCGGAGAAAGAGGAGGTTTTCTACTGCCATCAAGAATTACAGTCTCAGAAACCCACGCGAGCTGTTCTGCCCTGTCCTTGAGGCCACTTTGAGCCCAAATAGATTTGCTGGCAGTGAGAAGAGCTCTGCTCGAACGTTCTTGCGTTTCATTCTCTTTTTGAGACTTCTAGATGACCTCTTTTCTATAACTTTTGCTCTTTTGCGCATTTGTGACTGTAGTATTCTGTATATTTACGTCTTACGAATGCTGTTGACCTTACTCTTTCAACTCCCAGCTCTTCATTTCCTGACTTGTACCGCTGTCTAGTCCTACAACAGCCTCTTCTATTACAAAGTAATTTTTAAAAGCACATAGTGGTATTCTGCTTTCCTACCTTCCTCTGAAGAACAACATCGGCAATTCTCATTGCAGTTCCAGTGATCAAACGTGTTCATGTCATTGCCATTGTCTTCTGCCCATGTCACTGCTTTCCCACTGTGTGAACTGGGCGATTCTGGAACGCGCATTGTCTTCATCTGTGTAAAAGTTTACTTCTTTATGTTTAATAATATTTTATTGTGATTTTAGTGAAAGTGTACAGAGTAAATTGGTTTGTTATTCAACAATTTGTACACATTTGGTTGTAGACATTGATTGTAGTCCCCACAATGTAACAATACTCTTACCACTTCCTTATTTGTTTATTTTTATATCTTCCTTTCCTACCCGTTCCTTTCTTCTGAAGTTTATCTCAGGCCTAATGCTGCCCTTTTGCTTTTTGTATGGCTGATTGTTCTAAGGAGTGCATACCTCCCTGGTGTTATTGTTCAACTTTTATTGTTTGGCTGTGTACTTCATTCTCTACCTTAGGAACCAACTAGCCATGTTGTAAGGTATTTCTCTAGAAAAGTACATCTCATACTGTAATGGGCATAAAAATCTCTTAGAGCTCTTGAAATATAGGTTCCTGGGTCCTGCTTCCAAGTGATAGTAATGTTGCTGGTTCGCTGACTGTACTTTAAATACCAGTGTGTTCTATCACAAAACAAAATACCTGGGATTTGAATTTAGAACACTGTATTCAGCCTTGGTGCTGTAGTGGTTACTACTAGCTGCAACACCAGCAGTTCAAACCCACCAATCATTCTACGAGAGAAAGATGAGGCTTTCTACTCACATAGTTACAATCTTAGAAACCCATAGGGGCAGTTCTACCCTGTCCTTGTAGGATCATTGTGAATTGGAATTATCTTGGTGGCAGTGAGTTTGGTTTTGTAAGATTTCGCGAGTGGGTAATACCTTGGTTCTTGGCTTCACACAATGAAAGAATTCATGCTGACGCCCGTTTTGTAATCCAGGTGGGGTTTTATGAAGTACAGGACACGTTTCAGGTTTTACTGTCTCAAAGGGGTTCACAAGTGGGCACGTGCAACCTGGTGGAAAAGAGCACCCCCGCGTGCAGAACGTTGGCTAGAGAATGAGGAGGCCAGAGCACAGGACGAGCAGCTGTGGCCAGAGTGGGGACAAGAGAGAGTGAGCAAGGGGTGAGGGAGGGAGTCAGAGTATGCTCCCTGCCTTTATCCTTGCCCACCCTGTGGCTGGGGGAAGGCGTGGTTGAAGGTATTGGTGACCCCATTGGCTGGGTTAAGCCCACCTGGGTGAGGTCATGAGCCTGGGCCTAGTTTGGACCCCCCCATGTGTACCTCCCACCTGTCTCTGGCCTTGAATAGGAGTTTGGGTCTTCATAGGTGTCTAATGGTTGCCTGATTTCCTTCCAACCTCCTCTAGGAGGCCTTTGCAGGCATGGGAGGGACAACCCCCGTCCCTAAATCTAGCTACCTAACAGTTTCAGTTAGTATTCATCCATCTCTTATGATGTAGGAGATATGCACTCCTGAGATTCTTATGAATTAGAAAATCTGTAAATGTAAGTTATTCTTTAATTCTGTTATGATTATTAACTGGAGTTAATACATATATCATTGCATAGTTCAAACGTGGTAGTTACACAATCTTTTGTCAATTTGAGACTTAAGAGTTAAGGGATGGAATTTAGCCTGTCAATCAGGTCACAGCTTGATGACCTCATTTGGAGGCAAGAAGGAGATAAATAGCTCATTGGAGGCGGGACACATGCAAACTCCCTGGGAAACATTCCAGCTGACAAGACACATAGAGCTACACTAGTGCCCTGAGTGGGAGGAGCTGCATAGAGACCCCTGCCAGTGCTGAGATGCTTACACCGCCACTGGATCCACAAGACTTTCTACCCACTGGCTTGTGATCTTCCTCCATCCAGCATCATTTCATGTGTTTCGTGAGTCTGAAGAGGACTTTATAGATTGGTATCGGCTAATATCAGACTTTTGGACTGGGCTGGGACGTTTTCTCAATATTTAACTGCTCTTTGATATAAAGCTCTTTCTTATACATATATGAGTGTATCTATGAATTTGTTTCTCTAGTCTACCCAGACTAACACACACATCATGTAGAATTGTACAATTGCTACGACAGTCAGTTTTCAAACAGTCTTTTTCTTACTGGACTCCTTGTCATCGTCTCCGTTTTCACCCACAGCCCTGCTCATCAATGTACCCCTGTAAGTTATTCTTCACTGGCATAATTGTTTACGTCAGACTGAACCTCACATGGTGGCCAAGTAAGCCTGGACATCCTTTTTCCGACTTCTCCACTATTTAGAATTTCAGTCTCCATTTTTCCTTCTTCTTTCTCTGTCGTGGCATTCTATTCCCTCCTGCTCTGCCCCATTCTTACTTTACTCTAGGCCCTGGTGGGAGAAGGAAAGGGTGGTGCTAGGTCTTCTCAGCCCCACCAATGCTTGATCTGCAGTTCCAGTTCCCTTTTCTTAGTTCCTATCTTGATTTTCATCCACTAGTTAAGCTCCTATGGCAAAAATGCTTCATGTAAACAGTCGTAATACTCCTCTGAAATATTTCACTCCAGTATGTTTTCTACCTAGAAACCTACTCACCTGAAGCACTTATGTGGCTTTCATTTTTCTCCATAAGGTTTATTGGGGGAGGAAAAGTGATGCTCTTAATAGAAAGCTTTACTAACTTCTTTCATTTTCCCATTGTTACTGTTAGTTAAAATCTTTAAACAGCTCTGTGGGCTGTATGTTAGCTTCAGGAGCAACAGGGCTGGATAACAATTGTGAGATTGTAGCTTCTTCCATGGTAGACTACACAAGGTGAAACACTGGTAAAAGAACAAAGTGGAAAGAAAGAATAGGTACACTAATCCCTATGTGCCTATCGGAAAAAAATCTATTGAGAGGGAGCCTGTTTACCTTGGGTTTTTATTTTTATTTTATTTATTTGTGTATTTATTTTGTAAATCCAAGTGACTTTTATGAGCAAAATGGAAGCTTCAAGTATTCACAGGAAATCCCAGCGGCCAAGAGCAGGAAATCCCAAAAATGCTCCCTGAGATGCCAGAGAGGGAGCTCGGGTCCCAGGGCCCAAGCGTGTGTGCTCCTACCCTCTGACCTGAAAGAGCACACCTGAACAGAAGAAGAGTAAAGGAGGAGTCAAAGTGGTGTCAAAGAGAGTCAAAGAGCTGGTGTGAGGCTTTTATTCCCTATAACTCTAATCTTTCTTTCCTCCTTCAAAACTGAAAATGAGACCAAAAAACCAATTCAAACTCACTGCTGTCTAGGAAATTCTGACTGACCGAAAAGAGAGTAGATGTTATTGTAGTTTATGGCCCAGGTCCCAACTTTGAAAACACCGGGCTTAACTAGAATGACAGCTCTACGTTCTTTTTTTTTAATCATTTTATTAGGGGCTCATACAACTCTTACCACAATCCATACATGCATCAGTTGTGTAAAGCGCATTTGTACTTTCATTGCCCTCGTCATTCTCAAAACATCCACTCTCCACCCAAGCCCCTGGCATCAGCTCCTCATTTTTTTCCCTCCCTCCCTACTCCCCATCCCTCGTGAACTCTTGATAATTTACAAATTATTA